GGAGTGACGTACTAATCTCGAAACATATTTAGAAAATAGAATTTGAGGTCAATGCTCATTTCAAGAAAAAGAAGTTGAACTACACTTTTACAGGAAATGTTCCAAATATCGAAAATATTTGATGACAGTAAAACTTCCCATTGAAATACAAACCAATCTCTAAAAATTCATTCATGTATTGCAAAGCACAGATAAAAATATTATCAAATCTGTAAGAAAATTATACACAATGCGTTCTTAAGTTGGAAATGAAAAACACGATACGTAATCATATCCACAAATAATTTTTAATTGTATTTCCTTGTTTATGTTGCTATATACTGATAGAAAATTTATTATTATAGTTATTATTATTATTATTATTATTATTATTATTATTATTATTATACCTGACTCTCGCGAGATCTGAACCATTGTATCATAATGAATACTTACCTTGCGTGGTGAAAGTCGTGGAATTGGGCAGACCTGCTGAACGGTAGGTGATATCCCGAATGGTGGTTGACAGTCCATGACAGGAAACAAACAAGCCAGATCCATACAGATAATAGATGGGAACCGGCAACAAATGAACCGGCGAACCCCGTTAATGTGTTACTCAGTAAGTGTTCTATGGGATGGGCATAGACCGCCACTAAACCGAAAGGTGCTGTCCATTCATGATGCTTCTTATGGATTCTTTTATACAAGTACGGATGATGTAGTAACCTAGAAATAACCACTCAGTATTTAATGTTTCTCATATCATGGAGGAAAAATTAAGGAATTATTCGAAATATTATATAAGGTTCTTTTGAATTTCTTCTAGAGTCTTATCTATTTCTCGCGATTTTTTTTAGGAATTTATGTATGATTCGTATACGTTTCTTCTAAGATTCTTAATAATGTTCATAACAATGCATGTACTTTTGATATTCGTATAAACTCTTTTCATGTAAATCTGGAGTGAGTGAGAAAGTGTAGCAACCTGTTTTTTGGTAAAAAAATGAACGCTTAAATGTATAAATCATATCATTTTAAAAGTATGTTTGACAAATATTTGTTTCTAATCAAATATGTTATATGAATTCATTGTTCACAATATAAACTACGTATTGATGAGGGACGTTATATACCTTTAGAAGGGATGAGAGAGCCAGTGCATGTGCTCATAAATTCAATCGAGGACGATTTCAATTTTGTTTTCGAGTGACGTAACCATCTTGTCCAAAAATATTTTTGGTATATACCTTCAACATTCTAAGAGTGTAATGACATCAAATTCAGACAACCTCGGAAAAGGCAAACCAAATCAGGGACGACATTTTTGCATGAAATTTGCCAACGTGCATATACTCATCAATTTATATTCACTGGGTTTACTGTTATTTAGATTTGTACTCTGTGTAGTATTGTATTCTATGGCAGTGGTATGGGCATCTGGTCTATACGATTTACCTGTGAGAATAATAGAAAACGATTTCATCGAAAACGAGAGAAACCATCAAATCAAATAAGATTCTTGGAATCGTAGGTACATCGGCAACTGAGCAACTGTTACCACGCCAGAGAGCACCGGGATAGAGCAGCAACGATGTTGGAGGGAACATCACCACCATGTTGAAGAGGGTTGTCTTAAATACACGAGGAAGATGCAATGGATCCAACTGAAAATATGAACAAGGCTGCCAATTAATGTTCACTGTCTCATCAAAGACGTTGTTGTAAATTAATTAAACAGTTATAAATCCGAATGTCAGTTTTTGAACAGCCATTTCCAATCACACATATATGCTATGCCGGGAGTGTATAACGCGTCAGTAACTGCAAATGTGATTGGTTGATACGAGAACGGGGTTACTTCTACCTCTTTCATATAGTACAGTCGTTTACGTTACTTACTGGTGCATTTTTATTTTGCTGTACTTTATACTTCCATATAAAGTTTGGTTTTTTCGTTAGATCAACATAAAGATGCAGTAAAGCAAGGGACCAGAATGTAATATTAACCACAAGCCATGTCCCTGTAATATAAAGAAGTACGGAATGGGCATTGACTACTATTAATTTAATAGTAACAACTTGACCAAAAATGTCAAGTACAAAGGAATAATTATGTTGCTATAGAAACGATATTGACTAACTGGTATGCCCGTGTAACAGATAGAAAACACAATAATAACTTACATCACACGTCACTCACACGCACTATACACATAAGCTGTATATGGTCTTGTGACTATTAATTGACAGGGGTCACCAGAATTTGCTTCGATTCCGAGTCGGATTACTGTGGCCCAGAGATATTCGGAACAGAACCGAATCTTACACAGTATTCAGAAACAATAGTGAATGAAATCGAACACACAGTCAAATGGGAAGCCGAAACAGCGTTGGGGCGCTTATTGTGTAACTACAAGATTACATCTGATACACAGTAGTACTAGTATTTTTTTTACTTCACAGTGTACATTCACAATTATACACGGATGTTTTCAAATAAAGATTAAAGCCGAATTACATGACCTAAATAACACCGATGTATATAGATTGTGTTTCCACTAAATAATACACACACAGGTACATCACAACATTAACTTACCAACAACATTCAACATTAGTTCATTTCCGCCAAATAAATTATAAACTTTCTGCCAACCCGAAACCAGGATTCCAGGACGAGTGATGTTAACGATGTGTATATAATCCATTGCGACAATACTCGTGATATATGCGGAGAATTGACAGCAAACAGGTGATAAGGTCACAGTGTTGTACAGTACGATATCTGCAAGTATTAAAACCTTATATATTGGTGGTACATAAACTGAACTCTGTCGCGCAATGACTGCATTTGGGTATCTGCGCATGCGTAAACTCAAATCGTAAAATACTAGTAGACTATTCTTCAGACAGTATAATGTACTAGATAGTATTTTTTCCTTCAAATGTTGATATGTATCGTATCGCGGTTCTTATATTAGGGTAACCTGTAAAACATGGACTACGTTAAAATCGAGATATTTATAATATTTTTATCGTATCGAAAAAATTGAAATATGCGGTTCCCACATTAACCGCCCGAAACAAGTTCTCCCAAGCCTAGCGCGGAACCACATATTTCTTGATAGCACCGCAATGGGCGTCAATGAACATTGATTGACGTACAATCTGTAATTTTTTTTCATTTTGCCCACATGCATAATTTCATATCACATTCATTGACGCATGCGCATTGATCAAATATGATATTGTTTGCTGCGGTTAGAATTTCGTGAGCCGTCAGTAAATAAAGTTTCTTGATCAGTGAGATACATGTACACTATATATTCAATAGGGTTCAACGTATTACTGATAGACCGAACAAAGTTCACGTGTGCTCTTTGTCTAGCGTCCACTGTATCAGTTGACAGATCGTTTAAATCCAAGTTCAACGTCAGCGAAACAATTTACGAAAGATACGAGAAGATTCGATGATATTTGAAAATTAATACCCTCATATTTCAGTAGTATAATAACTAGGATAATTATAATCGGCAACAGGTGTATATTATTCTATATTTGATTGTAACGTTATATTCAATAAAATGAAACGCTCATTTCAAAATCTTATTTTTGAAAACTATGGAATAACTTGGAGAATCACAACTGAAATCTAAATTGTGATTACTTACCGCCAATTCATCAATTCAAATTACGTCAAAAAGCAATATTGGAAATGGGAATATTATAAATCCACTTGGCCGTCATTAGCCACGAACCCGGACCACATTGACACCAGTAAGATATACTCCGTCATTGTAAAACAAAACCTTGGACAAGAAACTAATCAATTAGATTACAATAAATCCAAATAAAAAAGAAATTATTGTGGCTCCTGTATAATTTAAAATAGAGTATATAGGTAGGAATTCTGTTTTATTTTTCTATATATTTTTTCTTGGTTATTTGTTTTGTAGATACCGTGACGAGTATCATAAATCATGTTTAAAGTTGTTTACATTATCCAGTTTTGCAAAGATTTTAATTTTTATAAAATGTCAAAGCCTCAGGCTGGAAAAACCATGAGACAACTCTCTGATGTCCCTTGTTGTTCGCTGCTTATACACTGGCTACTTTAAATAAATAAATTATTCTCAAATTACCACTAGCTCTTGACACTGAACACTCAGAATCAAACCTGCTTTACGTCTTTATACATGTAGCTAAAATCTGTATTTCTTCCCCTTTTTTTTAAATAAAACATTTCCTATGTCATCAGTGTCAATTTGTAACGGTCATTGCCGAATGACCCTGAAAGCACTGAACTGCACTGGACACTGAAAGCATAGCATATATGCTCTTTACCGAAGTTATACATTAAATCATTTGCAAGTGAAAAAAATGGTCACGAGGCTGTGACCAGAGTTCGAGAGGGCGCCATCTATTTAAGTTTCACGTATATTCTGTTTCATAAAGACGTAAAGTTTTTTTTTATATAACATATTAATTAAAACGACTTGGTCAATCACAATGTCTTAGCATATATTAACAATCGCGTGCATGGTTGTCACGGTAAATTAGTCGATGATTGAATGAAACTCGCAAAGACTCACGGGTAATTGGCATTACCAAATAGATTATATAGCCAATGGAAGCGCCTGCTTTGGATCTGAATGAAAAGCGAGAGTATCTTTTATTAAAAACAGTCATGCCATCATAAAATTCACTGTAATAAGCAAATATATTACAAAGTTACCGGAATGCTTAGTTCAAGTATATGTTCTGTCACTTCCACTACTTGTTGTTATACTGAAACTCCACAATTAACATTCACAGTGATTGTCATCCTACAGGACATGGTAACCTGTGATATTCATTATTATGTAGATATACATGTTAAATTAAAATGGTAAATTTCAGTCAATGATATCTAAATATCATTATTAATTAGGGAAATTGTGACTGAAAATGATAGTTTTGTTTCCTTCATTCAATGCCGAACTGAATTGGTCGAAATCCATTAAAAGAATTTATTAGCAGATTTGACTATACATGTATATATTTGATTATATATATGTGGTATCATTATATTGTTGTAATTAATTATTTATTGTGAAATGTTTATAAATAAATATAAACTCGGTAGCGGAGCAGGACAAACAAAGTGAACCTGAGTAAAAACACGGAGTGGTAGTTACGACTGCCCTCTCTGGTGATATTTCTTTTATTTTGAATACTATCCTTATTTCTACGTCAGCTGATTCCATAGACTAGCCCTTTTGTTATTATTTTCAGGATATTAACAGGATATCCGGGCTCATACCACTAATTGGAACTCCATAGACGACAATGTTAACATATGAGGAGATTGCTATATGAAAATGATGAAGAAAGTTGAAAACATGTCTCTAATATTGGGAAATCAACATGCCAGTAATCAACCACATCATGGAAAAAAAACGCACATGTTAGCCAGCTCAAACTCTTACAAATCTCATGTAAACAAGACACACCTTCTGTATTTGGATTGCACCTAGAGAAATCACTGGAAAAACACCAAGATTAGAACATCCAAATACACACAGAATAAACCCATAGGTACACTGTCGCTACGTAGTAAACAAAAGGCCAGATGTTAGTCCCACCTTTGACCCAGGTGATGCACGCCCTCAAACAGGGCGCACCCGAGAAAAAAAAATATTTAAAAAAATGTCATTGGTTCTTGCAAGGTATTTAAATTGGGGCTACGAACGGTGATTGGTTGATTAATGGCATGATATCTAGAAGCTGTTTTGTTCTCAGGCTCTGAACCACGTTGCCCTACTTCGCTTCAAGACATTAAATCTCTTGTAGATCCATTATGACCTAGAGGTGTTTAGAATTTTCCACCTTCTTCTAAATAAATACATAAAATTGATTGTATTTTGACAAATGTTAAACATTCTACCTACTGTTTCCATCGTAAATATCAACACACAACCATAGAGGGCGATGTTTTCATATTCCACAGTTTCTTTGTTTTGTTTTGTTTTAATACATAGATGTTTGGACAGATGTCATATATATTCACCATATTGCATACTCTCTGTGGTTCTTGTGGTGACTTGTTCAGGTTTTCATTGGTTCATAACACGTGATTAAGTTTATGTAGAGATGGAATAATATAATTAATTCCATCGGCTACATCAGATAAACACGTGTTTTACGATATTGAAGCATGCCGACCTCCACCAGAATTGTATTCACCTTAGAAGTAGAAACAACATATGACTCTAATTGGTACGGAGATATTGAGCCTGATTTGAACTTTTATCAGGTACCTCGTATTGCCCGGCCTCGTAACGCTCATCCTGCTTAACAAGGGTCACGCGCCACACTGGTCACTGTTGCCTGGGACTGATGGTAGAGAATGCGTAACGCTGTGGGAAGTGCGCCATCACATCAGGGCAATAATTTTCCGTCACGCCTGGACCAGCGCGCCCTACTTTCATCAATCGAAACAAAACGCGTCATTTTAAATTACGCCGTGTGCTTGAGGTCACGGAGTGGTAAACTTGTAATTACACCTATATGATAAAACCTTTATGGACTGGATACCCTCGGTCGTATGGCTTACGCACCCTCGCAAGCCCGGGCGTCTCTACCGAACGAACTCGGGCCGCAAAATAGTATCTCTCTGTTTTTTGAAAGTTATAATAGTTTTATGAATTTATGAATATATTTTTATCAATCAAAATATCTAGTTGTATTCAAATCGAGCAATCCAGAAACGATATTGCGAGTTTAATTAATATTAACGAATTAACGCAACAACACCCGAACCGCACGCCCTTTATTTTGAATAAGTGGGCAGTCGCAGTTGCTATGTCACTTGAAGGCACAGCTATATGATTATAGGCGTAGACAATGTGGAGCTCTCGACCAGCCAATCATTATTAAATATTTGAATTTGAATGAAAGCTGGTGATCGGTATTTATGTATTATTTACGACTTAGTGTGTATTATTTTATCTGTCGCCACGCCACACGGGTACTTCCGCGATTACTGAAAATTTTAAGAAGGCAAATAAAAAATACACTAGAAAAAAAAGTGTATGAAAAATAAATAATAAATACATTTTAAAAACACCAGTCAATCGATGAACCATCCTTGGGAACTACTACTAGACGCAACGATGTTGACAGACTTGCAGAATAAACCCACATACCTATCAGCCTCACACAAATGGTATCTCAGCGGCGTTAATGTTCTTTTTTCTGGACCGACCCACTCAGCGACAGCACACCCAGACTATATTAAAATCCCTGGAGAGACTTCAGAGACTGGTGTATCGTATGGAATCATCACTAACTCTACTTCACCTCTCTAATAGTAGTAGAATATTTATACTGGTTAAAGATGTCCGATCGACCATTCATTCTGTTCTAAGAATTTTTAGGTTGTCTATAAAACGCGGAACCGGAATCTCAGTAGAGTAACTCTATTTAATTGTAGTTGTACAGAAATGTAATTTAATTGCGACTTAATTAAACTCAATTAAAATGCAATTCAATGATTTACGAATATTTTAATAATAAGATTTAATTAAACTCGATTAAATTGTAATCATATATAGAAATACGTTTTAATTAAATTTAATAGGAATGCAGTTTAATTACAAATTTAATTAAACTGTATCCAGGTGAAATAACTTAAAATCAAAATGATATTCAACTTAATTTAACTGGTTTTGGCATTAAAATTATAATTATACAGTATATCAACTTAAACCCTAAACGTTATGCCAAGACACGTATTTCTACTAGTAGTAATTTCCAGTTATGAAATTCCGGTTCTGTTCTTCGTTTTTACTATTGCTCAGACAATCAATGCATTAATGCACAAACTCACTGGTCATAGAGGCAGTGGCTAAGACGATTACAAAGCAACCAACCCTATAGTCACTGTTCCGACGTCTTGGATTCGATAAAAACTCATTCAAACCAAGGCAAGATACCTATAAGAATCCATATAGTCTCCAAAAAAAGTGTTTCGCTTCCGTCGTCGACCAGGGCACGATTTCTCAGGACAGACATAAGGTTAAATTGTTCATATTTAGAACTAAAAACAGCATTTCATACGGATTGAGTTGGTTTAAATGAGTAAGATTACCATACTGTCTAATTACTAAGCGTTACATTATTAATTGGAAAAAAGAGTAATTAACATTGGTAGTTATGTGAAACTTATGTGACTTAGAGGGCGTTTTCAACGTGGGTTCCCAGACTAAAACCTGAGAGGAAAAACGTGCATTTTATTTATTGATGCTTTGACAATATATACCTTTTAGCATATGATTTTTCCGACAAGTTAATTGTTGCATGACTAAAATGTATCCACTCTGTTCTCAATGATTTAAATCTCGATTATGTTAGTGTCACTGAGGAATTGTAGATAAAGTTCAAAGGGTCACTGATTGTGTGATGATCACATGACCTGCCTTATATACAAATTCGTTGTTCCACTCGAGTGTTGGTCACTCATAGTATATCGAAGCCAGTACCCTCAACAGTCCTATCCCTGCAGCTGTTATTTGTTTTGACCAGGCGGAATATCCTCTAAATTCACGATGTCAGCTCTACAAATTGAAGATTTTGTGCTCCCAGCGTTGGTGACGTTAGTTTTAGGACGCCAATCAGGTCAGTACTCGTAGCAGCAGCCCTGACATATCGGCAGTAGAACATATTGTTGTACACATGCCGATATGTTAAGGGATATACCATCATTTCAACGGGGGGGGGGGCGAACACATGTCAGTGTCACCATGTCGCCTTATCTTGGAACCACACGGGCATGTTTTCTGTGTATATTTAAAATATATGTTTATGCAGATTATTGTCTTTTGGAGTTGTGCAATATTTTTTATTTGAAAAACTTCAATATAATATGTCCAATTAAAAGTTTATATAACCCAAAGCTCGTTTTTTGCGGAATATTATTTATTGAGTTTGTAGCTGCCATAGCATGACTACTAGTGCATGCTGGGTACAAATACGTGACTACGATTCTCATACACAATCCTAATGTTATAAGGGCGTCGATTTTCAAAGTAGTGATATGATGTAGCAGAATGTCGTTGACGTACTGTATCTTCCAATAAGGCCCGTGTTTCAATATATCGAGAAAAGACTATCATATGGCAATCAAGTGAGCGTAAACTTTGACCAATTAATCATTTCCTTATCATCAATCGACGTGTATCTACACTGGACCAAACTCAATGTTTCCACTTTGCCCACATAATCCGCGCGTACCTATATCATACTACGTCACGTTGTCTTGACTACCATGGATAGTCGCTTCACCAGATTTCTTTTTTAATTTACTTTTTTTTTCAAAACTTGACAGTGTATTTTTCCAGAAATTAAAATTCCGAAATTACATCATTAAATGAAGTTTTCGACACAATAAATAACTTAACAATGATTAACTTGTAGCAGTAGATTTGTGTTTATATTCTCGGCATCCGACAAACAACCATTCCATAGTAAAATCTAAAAATTATCCATATTGCAAGTTTAAACATCGCAGTTATTATGTTGTGTTATTTGGTATAATGTACTTCTGTTTGTTCATTAGGTTGGTTCGCCAAGAATATTAGAATAATGCGCAAGAAAGACAACATAGTACCACCCTCTACATCGGGACCCCCGGCTTTCAACCGAGCTTTCCGGGCACAGTATGTATTTAACCTCATCTAGACATTGTTCATTCATGTACCAGAGATGAGAAGATTCTCTCCGTTGCGTTTATTTTATATAAATTTTAATATATTAACTATCAAATCACCTCAAGGTGGTGCACGTTACATGTGGCCAGATTGTGCGTATTCGTCCAATATTAACGTTTGAACCAGCAAATTTATTCGCAATTTTGTTTCGGGGTACATTTTTGCAGAGATTTGTCACGTCCTCATGTGAACGTGTATATACAAGTTTTCTTGTCGTTTTTATTGATTTAACTTTTTTATTTCAAACACAGGCAGAACGCATTGGAGATGATGCCAGTGTTTTTGGTTGCATTCTGGGTAACCGCAGCTTTCTCCAATACATGTAAGTAATATCAGTGTCAACCTAAAATACATATATCCCAACTGCCCGTCTGCTTACCCGTGTTTTAACTTGTGTGCTGACATCAGTCACGTAACTTGAAGACAGGCCCTTAACTGTTTAAGATTTTTCATGGAAATATTGCCATTTGGATACCACATATACCCCACCACCCCAACTGATTACCGCACACTCCATTATTTCTTCATATATATTTATTAAATTTCCAATCATTCAAGTTTGTTAACATGTAAGTTGTTTCTTCTGCTTATTTCCAGTGATTGCTACTGTCCTTGGCTCTGTCTACGTTTTCGGACGTTGGCGTTACTTTCTACAGTATATTGACGACCCTGCTAGGCGGTAAGTAACGACTCGGACATACACTGGTTTTCGAGAACAGACGCTATAACTACCAGTTATGTCAACTACGTAATACCTTACTAGTACATTATTGCGGCTGCGACAGATTGTTCTGGCTTTGCTTTTACCACATTTCAGTGTTACAAAAAACTCAGTCTTTAGAAGTTAGTTTTAGCGATAATAAGATTTTTTTTTAATTTTGTGAACAACAATACAATCTAAAACATTTACTTGAGAGGCGTTTTTGTAAAAAAATAAATGCCCAGAGTGATACACTGTATTTTGTTTGCTTGATTTTAAATATCGTTAAGTAAACCTCTGTTCTAGTGACGATGTGTCACGGCCAAGCTAGTTTACCATGACTTGACGATCTCATAATCGCATTGATATGTTGTACTGTTTTCTTTTCAGTGTTGGTCCTTTCCGAGTATGCATGTTTTCGACGTTATTATTATTGCTCATCGCAGTCTTAGGAGTTACACAGTTTCTGTTACTCAAATATGCCTCGTATAACCTCAAAGAATGTGTGTTTTCTGTCTTACCATTCAAACCACCGGTTTAAGGTAGCACCTTTTAAATCTGAGTTGTACATTTGATTTCTTTGTGTAGTAGAATTATAATATATGGCAATCGTACTCTGAATTTGACGAAGTAAAAATGTTATTTAGAAAGTAAAAAAGTCGCGCGACAGAAACACTTAAGTAGTGTGTATAACCATCATTTCTATGGCAACAGTGTGTGATGTAATGTATATTTTTCAAAATGATTAAAGATTCACATTTTATATGATATCCGTACTTATCGCTCTTTTCTGCTTGAATGCCTCTCATCCATATAAGTTAATTCCCTTCTCATCAACCCTTGTCCTACGTATACCTTCCTATGTAACTATTTGCCACCGACGTCCCCGCTTTCGTTCTACTATTTACCGGCATCTGTGAAGTTTCTCTTTATCCAAACTGTATAGAAAGTCGGGAAAGCGCCTGCCTTAAGGAATCCCAGCTACCCCGTCTACTTTCCCTGCTTCGCTATTTGCGAAGAAAACAGACGGACGCAGCTGGGGTAGACTGTATGAAAGAATGAAATTATGTATTTTCAGTGGGGATTTTGCCCAGAAAGGGAATGATTTTCATAGCCAAATATTGGATGATTAAAATATATTAGAGATGACAAGAATACAGTGTAGTTTCATGGGAAATGTGTCCGAGAGTTAAAGCAAAACATTCCGCTGGAAATCGGAAAAGTCCAAGACAGCAAATGGGTCGAGTGTGAACTTGGCTTGATGGCGTAATGAAGATTGGTGTCGTTAAATGCTTTCGAGAAAGCTAAATCGTTGACTGGGAAGGTAAAACGTTGGCCAGGAATATACAATTTATCCTATTTTTATTTCCAACAAGATATGTCGAAACTCAAAATAATCGGTAATTGAAAATTCTAGGTAATGAGAACAGCACACCGAAAAATAAATTCGGCATACTATCAAAAATAAAATCTAATAGTATGTGCACCGTGACGTTGGTCAGGTTACTGGCCATTTTTTTTGGACATTTGCCGTAAATTAATAATTAATTATATCACTTAATGTTGTATCAGATAATTCAGTCACTAAGTTACATTTGATATACGATGTCATCGTGACTGGATAATATAGACCCAGTACATACTATACGGCGAGTCGCCAGAGACCCGAAAACATTTTAACCTCAATCACCAGGGCGTGGTTGAGGTGCCCTTGCCTGCTGACTGTGTCTCTGACAGATATGCAGTGAAAATTCAGGTTGGCCGGGAAAAACAATCACTTATTCTATGCGAGTCAACAATCACCACAGTTTGTTTGGTACAATGTACACGCTTTCAATAGCATTCAGTTGTGATCGTATTTCTGACTAAATGCGTACGGTGTGAGGTCAAGGTGCATTCCTATTCAAAGGTCGAACTGTGATAACGTTAAATGCTGACCTACGATTCACCCTTGCCCATTTCTTTCTGCCAGTATATATCACTGATATATAGCCACTGCATGTCACTCTAGCACCTTGCTTCATTTCATCCACAACCCGAGTTTTGTAAATCAGCGGAGTAACTTGTAATTTCACGATGACTGGTATAACACTTGACGATATTGTTTTTCCCGCAGTGGTGTCCTTACTTGCAGGATTTCAGTTAGGTTAGTGGTTTACTGTAATTAACGTTATGGGAGTATTGTTGGGGTACGTTGAGCTAACAATGGCAGATATATTACCTCGTATCGAGGTTTTTATGATGAGATGGAAGGGGTGGTTAATTAGGACACTTGACGATATTGTTTCTCCCAGCAGTGGTGTCATTACTTGCAGGATTTTAGTTAGGTTAGTGGTGTACTATAACTAACCTGACTAACGTTATGGGAGTATCGTTAGGGTACGTTGAGCTAACAATGGCAGATATATTACCTCGCATCGAGGTTTTTATGATTAAATAGGAAGGGGTGGTTAATTAGGATACATAGTCGGACTGCGAGTTTGCCGTTTTATGTTACATAACAACATACCAGTATTTGATATACTCTAGAATGCAGTCAATATCGCAGTGTCGTTTTTTCAGCAAGGGTATAGTAGTATATTTAGTATTAGGGACATACACGGTAGTACATGCCGATCATTGCGAAGAAGGTCGTCGTCATTCCGTTAAAAGTGTTTACTAGTACTTGTCCAATTGGAACATTATTAGATTCGACTCGATTAGGTCTCGAACACGGGGTTTGGGCGGTGTTTGGGATGAGACAAGACTGCGCCTACTAATCATGTTGCATGAGAATACCTCGACTGCCAGCTCATCCCCCCCACAAATACTATCATGATTTTCAACGTGCCCTGTCTTTTGTACATCCGAGCTGAGTGGTAAAACGTTACTCTCCTGATGATGTCTCTTCTCACACTCATTCAATACAAAGTATCTCGTTCATCTTTATATGTTCATTTATTAGGATATGGCAGCTGTATGTCCATGTGACTCAACATGTGCTCTTTACGAGCCCCCCCCCCCCAACACGAGTTACTCTACCCTAGTGCTGCCGTATCTACACGTTCCCAGTAACACTAGCCATATTGGCATTTAATCTACAGTAATTAATCTATTCTACTCTTATCGAATTGTTGTTTTTATTTCGAGTATTGAATATCCCCGACTGGAGCTAGTTAAGTCCCAGTCAGCAAAAATAAGATATTCTGGGTCAGTGTCCGGGCACAGCGTACTGTCTATTTATGCACGATCGATTTAAAATACAAATGGTGACTCCTCATTTATTTGGGGTTATCAAAATATGATACGTTTGTGATCACTAATCAAACAACTGTACTACCACTATGGGTTCATAGCTCTACTTGTGTACATGTGCGTCATTTGTGACAATTTTTTTCTGCGAGATTTTGGACTTTTCATCAATCTTTTTCGATTTTGCCTGTCTACTGACACTTTGAGTGATTAGTAAACCATACATTTCATTATTATGAATATATTTTATCGATGGAACAAATTACTGAATTAAAAGCACACAGTACTTAGTCTCATTTTCAACCTCACAGTTGCCTCCCACAATGCAGTGTTGCACCCTGAATATGTTGGTACTAATGAGTCCATTTCTTCCTCCTTTTAACTTTAATTGTAATGACTAACATTGAAACATTTTTTGGCACAGTGCTCAACTTGGGAAACATGTTGCCATGGAAATCACTTTGAACATTAAACAATGAAGACTAAATTGCAATAACTAACTAAATTAATTGAATTATAACCTGTCTGTGTTTACTAGGTACCTTTGCAAAAGCTGTTGGTGGATTACGAAAAAAGTATAATATCAAGCCGCCAGCAGTTACTGGAGCTGCAGAATTTGAAAGAGGGCTACGTGCACAGTATGTATATTATATTACTCTTCAGCTAACAGAGAGGCATTTGAATAGAGATCATTCACGATATTTGGGTGCGCATTACTGTTCTCACCCCTCACATTTACTATGAACAGTGCTCTTAATTCAGACTAAGCTTGTTATAGTGAACACCATTATTTTACATTTATCTTACAGACAGAATGCAATAGAGTTTACACCACTATTTTTAATCATATTATGGATATCTGCGATTTTCTTCCATCCAGGTGAGTGACATGTATCTTATCTAGAGCAACTTCCAACTATTTTATGAATATCTGCAACATTCCATCTGTTGAGGGCGCTTTTCTAATTGACACCTTGTTTTTCTTTCAGTGGTTGCATCCGTTTCAGGTTTGGTCTACCTTTTTGGGCGTAATAGGTACTTCAAGGGGTATCTCAAATCAGCCGATGGCAGGTAAGCAAGACTCACTAGTTATTACAATATATTTCATATGGTAAAAAAGAAGTGGGTAACTTTTGGAGTGGGAATGAAAATAACATTCAATAAATTTGTGAACGTTTAGAGACTGACCATGATTCAATTTGGAAAAAAAATTACAAATATAGATGGGACAGGGGAACAGAATAAACTAAGAACAAAGGTTAAAGTTGAACACAGGATCTGTACAAGATGCGACACAAATTCAATTGAGAGTGAATTCCATTATGTTATGAAATGCCCACAACATATTACAATTAGGAGCAAATTGTTTGACTCAATTAAAAATAAAACTGTTAATTTCCACTTGATGGATGAAGATTCATAATTTAAATACGTTATGGGCAACACTTCCACATTAATACAGCTTGGCATTTTTATAAAAGAAAGTATGGTAATGTGATACAGTAATTATCAATTCCCTGATTTTTCCAAGCCCTTTTGTTAAACTGTTTTTGTAGTATGTTTTTGTTTATATATTTAGGAATTGTTATTTAGTTATAGACTGGACTATGTTCTATTCAAAATGGATAATGTCAATAAAGTTAAAGTTATATATTATCAAGTAAACTTCTCAAACATGTATGACTACCAAATTCAGAATGTAATGAGTTGACCAAATATGGTATTACCCGGTAGGGAGAGTTAATGTGCTGATTCGACCATACATGGTGATTCAGAAGACTGAATGTTAATTTTTTTTCTGTTTCACAGGTTAGCTCCATTTGAAATAATTGAAGCAGGTCTACATCTGTTGCTGTTCCAGTCTATAATTGGAATTACCCAATGTCTTCTACTCAAGTATGCTGGGTTTAATTTGAAAGAAACTGTGTGCTCCTATGTTCCATTCAAGTCCCCATTTTAGATAAAAAAAACAGCATCTGTGAAGATTCGTCTTTGTGCTATGTATACAAACACAGGGTTTTGTAATTAAATTTAAAAAACTTAGAAAATATTTGTACAGTGGGATTTACATTTATTACCACTTAGATGTATTCCATTTTAATATTAAAAGAATGCCTATGAATGATCAATATAATTTGTATCCAATCGCCAACGCAACAACACAGTTTATTCATACGTCATTGATACAGAAACAAATACATACATGCTAGTGGTAAGCAAAGCTGAATTCCACTGAAAGACAGTTTTATATAGTTTTCTTTGCACTTTGATATCTACAGTATTAAAACAACAAGTATCCTTTTTGATCAGGTACTGTTTTCCTCATATGCATGCCAAGACAGAACAAATTATGTCTTGTACAATGTATTTCTGAACTGTAAACTATATGAAGATTAAATACCACCTTAGTTCAGGAACGTGGTAGCAGGTGTCAGTTACTGCATTCCTATATCACTAGCGTACCAAACTGCACTATCTGATGTTGTTCTATTGAAATTTTTCAAATAAATACTAAAAAGATTACTGATTTTATTTACAGTAGTTGTTTATTAATGTTATTAATAATGATATCGACGCTGTAGCAAGCAGGATGTTAACTTCTATGTAGTGCGTACCACCATACTATTTTGGAGACTGCGACAATACATGCATAAACAGAAATAAATAGGTATAAAATATTAGATACTGACTAGTAATATCAACTTAGGGCATCTTAGTTATAGATATGGTCCCAAAAAATGTTTCTGGTATTTTTTTGCTAAAATTGATATGGCGATGCAATTTTCAAAATTGGTGGGAATAAATTGAATTTGATAACTGTTTCCATTTGCAGATTTTAAAAGTGCTGTACAAGCACTAATGACCTAAACTATAACCTTGTAGAATACACCTTGTTCCAATGTGCATGAATTCACAAAGATTTTCTCATGCCACCTAAATTTAAAATGAGGATGAATCCAGCAATAGTCTCCAAATGAAAAAACCTACATATATCATCTCAGAAAATAATTCAACGGCAACCAACGTGCATCTAATTTCGTCTGTGAAAAAATATTTCGCCAGACGATTTGTGTGATATTATTTACAAGTGGCGCCAGGATTAAAGACAATTTTAAAACTGTAAAAAAATACCATTATATCCATTGCACAAACTCACCTGAAATTAAGGTGTAGATTTTTTTTCTATTATATTTTTTGAATTAATTAATTGAATTAATTTTGAAAAAAATTAAAAACTATATTTTATGAAAATTAACTTCCATGATTGAAGGATGGATTACTAAACCATGAAAAAATACTTTTGTTTGTGCAAATAAATATAACTGTCATGTATTGAAATTCTATTGCTCACATTTCTGAAGACTGAATTTCACCAAAATCATTGTGATGCCAGGTGATGAACGCAACTGAAAGCCTCACTGCTGCAGAATGTGGCAGTTGAGTTGAAGCATATATACAAGGCAGAATTTTAACTGATATGTAAAAAAATTTAAAAAACAAGATGCTCCACGATTGGTCTGATATTCAGGGCTTAGGGTTTAGTAGCCAATCAGGCACAATGTTGTAAAGTAGGTTGCATTGCCTCGATTTTTTCTTCAATGCAATCCATCTTTCTCTCGAATACAGTCAAATACAATATATTCAGTACATTTTAATGAAAATATGGTTACTGAGATCTCTTTGAGATCAGAAGAGCCACAAGACATTTTTGCCCCTCAAACAGAGATCCATTCCCCCTGTTATCATGTTGATTGTTCGAAATACCCTGGTTACATGGTCCGGGAAAACACTGGATGCAATGATAATGGCAGGAGTAGAACACTATTTATGGGGAAAGACAAGTCTTGTGATCCCATATAAGGTATATTAGTATTGTTTATCCTGGAATTTAACTGGCATTTATAGGACTCGCAACTCTAGTTGGTGAACTGGCTCCTGGTGGAGGTGTTTGTAGTCCCAGCTCTCTTGCTTCCCTTGCATCTATTTCTCTCTGAAGCTCTTCAACTTTCTTCTGAAGTTGAGCTCTCAATTCCAGTAATTCTCGGTTCCTCTGGTGAATTGGTTCCTTTGGAGGCAAAGTGTTACCAGAGAATGTAAATTAGAAATGAAACCAAACAAGTAGTATCTTCATGATGGTCAATACTATTTCTACATGTGGTCCACCATCTACCCTTCGTGGGTTCCCGGCGTCCCTTGCGAATGGCCAGTAGGACGCAGGTAACTAGTAATTGCCATATTGTTCCATTTGAGCCGGTTTTCCGGCCGGAAGGAATGTGACTGAGTGACGTAATTTGAAAACATTCCAAGTTTCGTACTGCGTAAACGAGTCTGTAATACTACAATAAAGGCATGCTCATACATACTGCCTGCTTAGATTTACATATTTGAGATGTTTCTGACATTCCTCGCTGTTTCTGTGTAAATTTTTTTAATTTATTTATTTTTTATTCGCCCAACTTTCGAAAGTAAAAGGAAACCCCTGAACGGCCACGAGCGTAATCGCTGACGTCAGGTAACCAAGGGGAATAGAACAAGCAACGAGAAAGTGATGGACAAATGAGAATGCAGGATTCATTACTAGTTACCGGCCTCTTGTGGCTTGGTACGCCATGACACTTGAGGCGGGAACCAGCCAACATCTACCCCTCTCCACTCTCAACACAGAGGGCGCTTGCTCTCAGCATGCTTCACGCACACACACACATCTGCCACACATTGATTTACCATGCTACGATTTTAGCCATGCAAATATTTAGGGTGGAGCAAATGCTAAAAGAAAACTGTCAATTAGGACCAAAGCCATTTTTGTGCATATTATTATGGAAATCCGCATGTGGCAGAGGTGAGTACTAGTATTCATGAAGCATGCTGGAAGCAAACATCCTCTGCATAGAGAGTGCCCCTTCCCCTCCCCTCCCCCATCACAATAGTAATCCCTACCTGCGGTCTCATCCTTGGATTCCATCTCACATAGTAACTGGTCCATAATTCTATTCGTCTCATGCTGGCCACAGGAAATAAGACGTGTTGATTCAAGTATGCTGCATAGAGTGGATTTCTAAAATCATCCATCTGACTGTTAGTATAAGACCATAGAGATACTGTCTTGTTCTTCACATCCTGTATTGAAACAACAGATTTACAAGGAGTTATATGATAAGGCCACCTCAAATATGGTGTTACTTAACCCCACAATATTTGTTACATGTTATTTGTTATCAAGTCCAATTTGACTTTTCTCCTGTGTTCATAAAATGAACATTAATTTTTGAATAGTTGAATTATTTATTCGCTGTGTATCTTTGCAATGAGATGAAGTACACACCATCAGTGTTTGAATTAATGCCTGTCATTATGTCCTAGATGTTAATTTTCTAGTTAGCCTGGTAAAAATTGAATATGCCAGTGGTCTGGTTACATTTGTTCATGGTCTGCTTAAATTAATATCTTGAAAATTCAATTTCACTAAATAATGAATGAAGCTTAATGTCATTCTCCTCTGATGACTGATAAAGATCAGAAAATAAAGAAAGAAACAAATAAAAATGTTTCTACAAGGAAGTAATGAGCAGTGAAACTAAAATCCTTCAGACTGTGGTCATTGCTTACTTCTGCTGAATAAAGTAACATGGTGTATTTACTTGGAATAGAAATGATAGTATTTGAAAAAAACAAAAACATTTTAATGCAGAATTGGTAACTTTTTTAGAGGGCTGGTGAGATTTGAAATTTACCTGCTCTGGTGTCAGGCAAAACGATTTTGAGAAATTTCAAACACTGACAATATCTTTGATGAAAAAAAGATTAGAGTGTAGTGTTTAAAGAATCAACCCTCATTTTTATTCATCTTTGTACAAACAGCGCCCCCAGCAAACAACTACTGAAATCATTCATTTTTATTGCAACTTGAATATTGCATATTAGAAAAAATTTGTATTAGTTCATGATCGATTAAAATTACATGACAGAAAAAAAAACATACTTGTAATAAATACAATATAGTGGTGAGAAGAGGTGAAATGGTTCTTACCTCCTTGAATTGCTCCCTCTCACAATTACAGAGGAAAGTGCCAAACAAACAACTAAACAAGTGATCCAAGATGGTGATCAGGAAATATTCATTGAATTCAAATGCACTGGGAAACTGAAAACATGAATAAAATAAATTTACTCAACTAATACGCTTCCTGTAATAGTATGTACACATAACATAACCTAGAAATGTTCTCAATTTAAAAAACATTGAGCATCTATGAAAAATCAATTGCATAAAAGTTTACTCCCATCGAATGGACCATAGTACAACACTTCCTTGACACAAAAAATTATTGCTTGTGAAATGATATCATTTTTTTAAGTAGTCCATGTGAATACCCCGGTAACTGTTATTTAGTTTGATAAAACATAGGTGAGAAAATAGTTTTCATATGTTTTGCACAGAATTTTTGAGTTGCCAAATGATATAAAAAGACAACCTGAGCACCTCAACTTGGAAAATCTTGATTTTTAAGGTTTGGCACTAAGTCAAGCATCCCTTCCAAAAATTATCAAAATGACAATTTTCGTTCATCATATGCCACGATTTGAAGGAATATTATCGTGTCTCTTGGAAGAAATTGTTGAAATTGTATGCAAACTTTCACCATGATGTTTTGCTGTACCTGATAGGTCAAGTCTCACAGTTATTACCCAATCAGAATGCTATGCGGTACTGATGCAATTCTTTAAGAATTCCTGAATATTAGCAATTCTATGCTTCTAAGCAGATTACTGATGTTGAAGTACGATCTGGCAAGTGATTTTTTTTAATCTCACAATTAAAAATTTTTAAAAGATGAACATAATTTGGAAGTAGTATCACCTTTCAGAGTAATAATTGGTAACTGTCGAAGCATGTTCACCCATTCATGAGTCAATATAATCACGATAGATGCAGTAATTTAATTAATCAGTGAAATGTAAAGTAAAATGATATCCAGTAACCAGATTTCATGACTAAATTTGAAGGGATAAGTCAAATTTAAAAATCCCAAAAATAGAAATCATACAAAAGTGAGGGGTGGGCGGTGATATGACATGGACATTAAAGTGGTTGATTACGGTATATACCAGTGGTGCACAGCAGCAAAATATAGTTTGTCAGAGTTTTGAAATGACTACTGCCATACTATTGGTGGGAATGGTGTTCAAATGATTAGTGTGGAAAATAAATTATTGTTAAATGTGTCATATGGATACCTGTCGTGTCATCTGCCATAATGCATCTATAAACTGTAAGAATATAGGAGATCTATCAGCATCAGCATGGTTCTTGTCACCGTGACCGATCCTCTGAAAGATACAAGAAATAACATAGTTGTAACTATTGCAATCTTGTCTATGCAAAAACTAGCTAAAATGCATATATTACTGTATGTATTATTATGCTGCTAGCACCAACAAAATACATAATTTACCATTCTGTAAAAAGCTATAAATGCATTTGATCAAAATCAATTTGTAATTGTTCAAAATTTCTTTTAGTTGGAGTAAATTTCACAATATTGACATTACATTCAAACACTTTCTTTGTTTACATTGCGCGGGCACGACAGCAATATTTTAGTTTGAATTAAAGCCTCAATTTAGGTAATTTCTTTTTTCCTATTTTGTCATGAAGCCCATATAAATTATAGAGCAACAAACATTTTACCTGGATTTTATTTTTACTGATTTATTGATCCTTTATTAGGTAAGGTAAGCATGCACAAAAACATGAAACCGATCCTATTTTGAAACATGATCCAAGATTACATGTTTTTCTCGGAAATTTGTCATAGTATTACAATGTATTACAATTTGTCTATGTCTAGTCAATGGTCACATATACCGTATTTGCTTAGTTGTGTTAAATTTGTTTCAGTAAAAAATTGGTTAATTGCCTCGCACATATAGCCTTGCTTGTTCAGAATTCTGAGTTATAGCACCCTCAAGCTATTTTACTAGATTTAGTATATAGCGCCACCAAGTGGCAGCAGATTCTCACTTTTTGTTTTCCTGGCTGTGTGAAATTTTTCACACAGGTCACATATACCGTATTTGCTTAATTACAAGTGCGTCTCCAATAGAAGTGCACATGAACCCAAAATGACATGCGTTGTATACTAACCAATTAAAATATACTTATTTTGACCATGCATAAATACACTTCTGTTATTTACACACAAGTGCATAAATAGAACAAATATGGTACCTGCGAAAATTTATGTCCAAACTTGCACCACTCTTTTTCAATGAGAACCTCCACACCTTTAATTGTTCTGTAATATGGATCTAACATAATCATTGCAAGTGACGATAACTGCGCCGTTCTATCCCAACCATCACTACAATGTAGAACAATTGACATCTTTTGGCTCTCAATCTTGTCAGCAATACGTACTGCTCCAGCTAAAATTAACTAAAAACAAGTCATTGTTAATGACACAGTCCCCGTCCAAAATTTTGTGATCTGACATATCAATTTGATGCTGATGAAGTCATTGAGATTAAATTGAAACCATTAATAGGAGATGGATTTGTAAAAAAATTATGATTTAGTGCTTTTACACGAGAATTGGACATTGGACAGTCATATTGAATCAAATTACAAAAATAATGTTCATGTTGATGTATCTATTGGTATACTGTCTTTGTACACAGAAAAAATATGACATGCAACTATAACCCAATATGTATGATTATCATACCAACTTTGATTCAAATTGGCCTAGTCATCTCTGAGAAACTGCTCCGGACATCTAAAAATGACGATTTATAGGGCTTTTACATAAAAAATTGGGCGTCAGCCAGCCATATTGAATTAAATCACTAAAATAATGTTGGTGCAGAGATATCTCTTGGCCTACTACCTTAGTACAAAATTTAAACAGAAATGTTCATTGCATTCAAGAGAGAGTAGCATGGGTAGCATGAAAAACAAAAATGGCCGCCAGTCGGCCATATTTGTTTGAATCATGGAAAAAATATGACGTGCACCTATAACCAAACATGTATGATCATCATACCAAGTCTGATCCAAATCGGCCCAGTCATCTCTGAGAAACAGCTCCGGACATGTAAAAATGACGATTTAGCGCTTCAACATGAAAATTGGGCATCGGCCAGCCATATTGAATTGAATTACAAAAATCATATTGGTGCATCTCTTGGTATACTATCTTAGTACAAAATTTATAAACAGAAACGTTCATTGCATTCAACATAATAAAGTAGCATGGGTACCATAAAAAACAAGATGGCCGCGAGCTGGCCATATTTGTTCGAATCACGAAAAAAAATGACGTACACCTACAACCCAATATGTATGATCATCATACCAACTTTGATCCAAATCAGCCCAGTCATCTCCGAGAAACTGCTGCGGACACGTTTAGGTATCAGAAATAGCAAATTTTACATCAAAAATGGCCGCCAGTCGATCATTTTTGCTCCGATCCGATCATAAAGTAACACACATATGTAAGACATTATGTATTGTCTTCATGTAAAGTTCGATCGAAATCTGTCAATTAGTGTTCGAGATATAGCTTTGGACGTACGTATGAACGGAATGAACCCAAATTATTAGTCCCCGTTTTTGAACTTTGTCCGAATGGGGACTAAAAAACACATTATTGATGGTGCCAATCAACTGAAATATCAGTTTCCAAAATTGCATATGAGGTACAGTTACTTTAATAATTAAACACCTTTTATCCGTGAAAACAATTTTTAGAGGTTCTCTAGAAGCAGTTTTTATTTTGGACATTCATCAATTTCAATGGAACTACATTCACATCTTTGGACAAAAAAATTAAAACCAATACCATTATCAACTAGCAACTAGTTACCTTGATATGCTCTAACCAATGAGTTGATTCAATGTTTGATAACCAGTGTTGATCATCAATGTGTGGATAGCAGATATCCTTTAGTTTACGTAAACTGAAATTAAATTCAAAACCCATATTTATTGACATACAGCTTATTCACAAGTGACTTTTTTTATGTCCCTACTTTGAATAAGACTAAGTTATCAAAGAAATCATAACAAGTTTACTATACAATTAGTACCATATTAATCATAGTGGTAAATTGACTGAATAAAGGTTTTTGATTTTCTAACAGTGATGTATGTACCGGATTCTGCCGTAAATTCGCCCATCCGAAAAATCGCCCTGGGCGGTTTCACGGCTGGTGGGCCCTTATTTGGGGTTCAAATTTTCAAAAAATTATCATCAAATATTTTTAGGAGGGCTTATATTTTCATTGAAAAATCAACCTTCGCCGACTTTCAACACCGGCAGTTGGACCACCCAAAACGAAAGAAACTAAAATTATATACATTTTTTTCTAGCTGGATTAATAAGTAGACAGCGCATCTTTCTTCAAAAAAAATCAGAATAAAGAATATCGTGTGCCAAATACAATTATTTTGTTTCATTTTATTAGTAACGAAAGTATATTCTAAAAGAAGTTTTAAATAACAACGAACACAACTGCATTGCTTAGTAGCAAATGATTGTGGTAGCGCAATCCAGTCATGCTGCGTTTTACAATTGTTGATTATTACCTAGTAATGATTATAATAACGTGCAAAAAATAAATTTGTTGAATTGTTATGAAATGCTAATAAATTTCAACTTATTTCATTGTAAGTGAATGATTCCGATCGCATTTTCAACGCCCAATGCTGTAGAAATGAATATCTGCCATGTTTTGACCTGACCTGACAGGTCAAATCGATAATTAACCAATGAAACGATGGATGATGCCAACGTGTTCAAATTACCATAACACATTTAAATATGTTATTGTTATTGAACCCAGCATGGAAGAGATTTGCCGATGTTGTTGTACGATCTTTTGGCTTGGATTTTGATTTGTTTTTAAATAAAAAAAATAGTTGTTTTCAAAAGATAAACTGAGCATTTGAAGAATAATTTAACATTATTTACAGCGATAACAACTCATTGTCGAAACGAAGCTAACCCATTCACGCTAGTTGCAATACTCATCAATACTCTTGACGTGACTATGGCGAAACTTTTAGGCATCAAAAAAGACTAAAATAGCACCTTAAAAAACTGCCAAACAATCGCCCTGGGCAGTTTCGTGGTCCCAATTTATTTTTTTAAAACCCGAACTGCCGTTTAATGGCACTGGGCGAATTTACGGCAGAATCCTGTAGATATATATATATGATTAGTGATGTTTTGATCGCCTTTGTCTTAGGTCAATTATATATTCACATTGTGCAGAATAAGTGAAATGGCCAATGTGCTTTATCATCAAGGTATGACAGCATCCACGTATATTTTAAGATGGTGTCTCACCTTTCTCTCATAACATGAATGTTGTGAATATCTAAAAATACCACCTCAGCATTCTGGTATGTGTCTTCGCTTTCGTATCCTCCACCTTTTGCCTGTATACAAAGATATATACATTTAGAACAACAGATGACAGTTATTGTTAGAAAAATGGTATGAAGGAAATTAACCAAGTGAAATTAACATATTGACTGATATATATTATTTTGACAGTATACAGTTCCTATGACTGTTAATGTATTGTTTATTTTTTTGGGTAAATTCTTATTCTTATGCATTATAAAAAATTCCCTTCATTGGCTGCCAAGATCAAATACCTAACTGCTTGTCATGTCAGCAATACATACTGTTCCAGCTAAAACTAAAACAAGCAGCCTCTCGGCTGAGATAGCTCCGCTGTTAGCAATGCACATTTCAATTAAAGAACTGAAGATATCATCATGAAATGAACAATATGCATAGTATCAATGCAATGGGACTTGCTGTTTTCAACAAGAATTTAAAAATATCATTTTTGACCATAAATGATTGTGGTTTTTAACAAGAAGAAAATATCATTTTTTACCAAAAATGACAAAAATATTCATCAAAATTCATGAAATGAACAAATTTGAGAGTGGTCCATATGTAGTATCTATATATGTAATATCAAAGCAATTGGACTTGTCGTTTTTAACAAGAAGTGGAAAATATCACTTTTTACCAAAAATGATAAAAATATTCACCAAAATTAGAGAATTAAAGATATCATTACAAAATGAACAAATCTGAGGGAGGATCACATGTAGTACCTATATATGTAATATCAAAGCAATTGGACTTGCGGTTTCTAACAAGAAGTCAAAAATATCACTTTTTACCAAAAATGACAAAAATATTCACCAAAATTAGAGAATTAAAGATATCATTACAAATCTAAGAGAGGTCCACATGTAGTACCTATATATGTAATATCAAAGCAATTGGACTTGCAGTTTTTAACGAGAAGTTGAAAATATCACTTTTTACCAAAAATGACAAAAATATTCACCAAAATTAGAGAATTGAAGATATGATCATGAAATGAACAAATCTGAGAGAGGTCTACCCAAGGTACATATACACCAAGTATCAAAGCATTCAGGCTTGTAGTTTTCAAGAAGAAGTCGAACGAACGAAACCAGACGACGACAGACAATCACACATATGATAAGCTCCGCTTGACAAAGCCGACAGCAGAGCTAAAAATCATTATTGATGGTGCCAATCAACTGAAATGCCAGTTTTGAAAATTGCATATTTGTGCAAATTCCAATTCTTGTGCATTATTTAAAATGTCCCTCATTGGCTGCCAAAATCTACCTAACTTCTGAAACCAATCAGGAAACACCTAATAAATAAATGTCAACTTACCTTATTAGCCATGGCATTGACACTGGGTCTTGCATCCATTATAGTTAATTTATGTGACTGTGCATTAGCATCTAATATATGCTGGATATATTTCTCATCATCTTTGCTTCTCTTACCACCCACACCGACCAATGGTTGACTAGACCTTGTGATGGTCGCTTGGCTTTCTGGGTGGATCCATGACAAAACCTGACGAGTCATAATATAAATGTTACAGCAAAACAAAATACTTGGTTAATATAAATTACCATATAGGTACATAGGACTCAACAAGGGAAGTATTGGAGCCAAATGAAACAAATTGGCATTTCTGGTAACAGCAGGTAGGCAAGGATTTTTATATTTATTTTTTTATTTTGCTTTTTCAATTGAGTTATATATAGTCACCATTAAACTACAGATGTGAAAAATGACATCTAAGTTAATTTATAGAAGATGTTTCCACATTACAACTATCGGTAGTGGTCTTCATTCACTACATAGAAAAAAAGTACATAAAATCAAAAAAGTCCAATTTTTAGTGACTATGTCAATTAAATAATATGAAGTTATTACTAGGATACTTACTGCAAAGTATACACGACGACAGTACAGCGAGAGAATCGACTGCTGTGCAGAGGAGGTTGATGCAACTACGTTCTGTTTGAGTGCATACTTTGCAGTATCCTCAAATTAACCTTAATATTATACATATATATTATTTTACATCAAACCTTGGGGGCAGCCATGTTTGTTTTTTTATTATTAGAGGCCCATTCAGCACGCAATCGTTTCATATTTGGAATTTGTGTTTCGTAATATTGTGGGATGAAAATACCCAGTACAATACAACAGTGACAGATGACAGATGTATAATAATAATAATTATAAAGATGAAGACAGATTATAATTAAATATGAAAGTACAGTACAACCTCGACAGATCGATGAAGTGTGCAGTTGTGTAGGTCTACATTTTTGATTGTTTTTATTAAGAAATTAATTTACCAATACACTTGCATTATATATTGCTGGTGGAAAACCAATGTCCATTACAGTGTTATTTGTTGGCAGGTTTCCTTACTTTCAATTGGAATGACACTAGTTGTACGCATGAAATTTCTTGTTAAACCTGACAATTGCTATATCTGTCGTATAACAAATCACTATTTATTGAATTGACCAAAAATTATTCTAATACTTTGCGTACAAGAAAAAAATAATTTCCATTTGTATCCTATTAATTCATGCTCTTGAAAAAACAATTATTTTTACTACGGCGAATTAATAGAGCTTAAAACGATAGTATTCAGATTATCAAATAAGTTACAAAAGCGCAATAAAGCCGAGTGCAAATTTAAAATGATGTACACATAGAAGTTTATCTTATTGATCCAACATAATTATTAATTATTATACAAAGTAAAAATGACTCACAGGAATTCTATTTCTACTTCTGAAAGCAGCAACTCTTCTCAATTCATCGTCGTCAGCTGCGGCAGGCACTGCTAGCTGCAAATAAGTAACCACTTTGATAATGGGATTATGTATTTCTGTATCTATTGTTACTATGACAATACATCTCACTATGAAGCATCGTTTTTTTCCATATCTATTTGAATCCTACCCTAGGAAGTTAAGTTCTGCACCATACATACTGCCCAACAGTGTATTCAAATCATTGTTATCCCAAAATATTTGTTACGATAGGTGTTTTCAAGGCAGACAATGATGTGATAGGTTCGCTTACAGGATTAATACCTCTCATGATGATTGCATAGCAAACAATAGATGGGTTATTAATATTACATCTCCCATGATGCACTGGAGAAATCCTGGAGATTTTATGGCTACCGAAAGATTTGTAACTATAAACTGTCAAGATTTCAGTGCCGGTAATTTTTTCAACACTACATGACAGTGATGAATAACTACTGTAACAAGGTGTTGTTTAGAAGTAGTTTTAGCTAATTTAGCTTCTTATTAGTCAAGATGTAGCTAATAAATCCATTGTGTTTTACTGTAAACACCAGTGATAAATAATTTAGGGTTAGGAAAATATATCTACAATTTTAAAGATGATTTTAGTAATTTGCGGTAATTATGAAAGTAAGTGAATTTATTTATTCATTCTTTGCAGAGAGGAAATCAATTAGAATTAAGTTCATATTGAGTATGCTCCAATAACCTGACTGTAATCACATTCTCCATAAACAATTAGCAGATCATGGATGCCTTAATTTTCATGACTAAATTCTTGTACAACATTTTCTGCATTTGCATGTTTTTTTTTATTAATTTTGACCAAAATAAACATAATTTCTCATTGGCCACATGTCTTTACCAAAAATTGTCAAATAATATGAGGTTTTATTTGGTGAAAGGTGAAAAAATTTGGCATTTAAAGTGACAAAAGCTGTGATTTTGAACATGTTTTTGTTTAGATATAATATAACCCATAAAGATGACCAAATCTTATGAAAATACAGTTTTTATCACAAATGCATGGGCAAAGTGATCATACACAAGACCAATATCACATAAAATACAATGTGAAAACTAAGGGTAGACTAGTTTCCATTTTTGTTGAAATTGGTGTGGACTGCAGAAAATTATGATTTTGGAAAATGACACACAAAATTGTCCTTGAGAGCCATCAGAGAGAGACTTAGCCTCTCAAGATGGCAACACATTATACATTTCACCCAGGGCACCTGGTAAGTTGTCATAGAGCCTGAGGTTTACTTGATAAAAATGAATTTCAATAGATCCCTGGAGACCTGGGTGCAGCCTCACGGGCAGATTTTTGTCAGTGATTTAATGTACAACATCAGTATAGCGCATATATACTAAGCTTTCTTGGTTACTGTGACCAATCACTTACCACGGAAGGATAGGTGTCACAGAATTCATAATTTTCATTGATTTTGCTTATTCTCCAGCTTTCTGTTGGAAGACCCTGAAATAAGAAAATATCAGTGTTAGGAGTTATAGTAATACCACCTTTTATCCACAAGGGAATTAAAGTGTGACAGTCGTCACAGAGCAAGCATTCATAATTTGTGTAAATAAACTACTGTAAAGGAGTTAATTAGTCACTGGATTTTAATTTTGCTTATTTCGCTGACTGGAAAATGCACTTATTTAAAACCCAGTGAATATGTAAAATTTAGCATAAAACACATTATCTTAAATGATAAAACCGTGAATTTAAAACCCACTGAATATGCCTGAAATATTGCCTAAACCCAGTGAAAATTAGTAATTTTACAGTATTTACATGTCGCATGAGGTCATTATCACATACGACAGCTATGCCGCTTTGAAGTACTGTGATTATAACAGTTTGTATGCATATGTAATTGGACTTAGATATTACATGTACTTAGGGAGAATATATTATACCGTAAAATCTGTATTAGAAGCCGCATCTCTAATATAAGTCGCACCCATTCTTTTTGAGCAATTGAGTACCAAGCATTCATCATTTTCTCATATGTGTAGATGCTCTAATTGAAGCCGCATACCCTCTGTTGCATTGTACCATTTTAATAGAAGCCGCAGCTTCTAATACAGATTTTACAGTAATCAGCATTCCTGATGTCAAAATGTATTCCTAATCTCTATAGCACTATAGCAAGTGAGATTAGTAATGATATAACTGAACTATGTCAGGCTCCATGTTGCTGTCTGAAAGCCTTCATGGACAGCCAAAATAAATATGGAAAAATCAGCATCAGCAATTAGCAGATTAGTATGAATTGTTTTCTTTTCAATTTAAACATTTTGGTCCTATGTTTGAATTTCAGATACTACCGTAAAATCTGTATTAGAAGCCGCATCCCTAATAGAAGTCGCACCCATTCCTTTTGAATAATTTAGAATAAAAAATTCATCATTTCTCATATGTGTACATGCTCTAATAGAAGCCGCATCCCCTCTGTTGCATTGTACCATTTTAATAGAAGCTGCGGCTTCTAATACAGATTTTACAGTAGTAGTGATGATTTACTGGTAAATACATTATCTCTGCTATACATGTAGAAACACAAATTTGACAAAAATACAATTACAGATTTTTTGTAACAAGTTCTATCAAAGTTTATGTAATCAAAGTTGGTTCAATTCAACAGAACAGTTAGAAAATTAAAAAGTAATTTCATTACGTAGACCCCCCCCCCATTATCTAGTTTAAGTTTAAGAAGTTTGAATATGAACATTATGGCTGCATTCATTAAACACAAAATGACCACCAGTCAGCCATTTTGAATCTGATAAAAAACGAATGATTTGCATCAAGATCTGGTGATTTCCGGTGATTTGAAAATACTCCATCAGTACACAACCAACTCAAAATGACGGATATGTTTGATTACAATGAATTTTAAAATGAGCACCATTCATCTGTCTCAAATCGAATCACCAACTGAATAAATGTTTATATGTGTGACATGGTGTATATGTAAGGTTTGAACAGTCAGGGAATGTCAGAGATGTAGATTTGAAACCACATTTGTTGAAACATAATGGCCACTTGTCGGCTATTTTTAATTAAATCTTAAAAGCAAAACACTGTACATCAAAGTCCCATAATGTCTGATTTTTGTACAAAATTGAACAAAATTGAACAAAACAAAATTTGTTTGAAATTTGAAATAATTAGTTCACTCAAATTTTGTTTTTTAATTAATAGAATGTTTAAAGATGAAGAAAAACAAATTAGAATAGCTACCTGTCTTTTATATTCCGTTATAGGGTCAAAAACATCCCAACCATTCTCACCAAAGTCTTCTTTAAACTCGTATGAAAAAAGTGGCTGAAAACAAAATTCATTTACCGAGTGAGTAACCACATTTCCTTTTGAAATTTGTTGATAGATTGCTCTGCTACCTCCATTGTAAATAACAGATATTAACATAATAAAGTAGCTGTGACATTGGACATTTTTTGTTTAAATATAACCATAATCTATGTGAATATTGTTTTCAACACAATTACATGGGCAAAGTGATGCTACACAAGCATAATGTCACATGTGATGTGAAAACTAAGAGTAGAGTAGAGTAGAGTAGTTGCTATTTCATTGAAATAGGGAACTTTAAGAAAGGTACAGTACATTGTGTAACCTGAGAGAATTATGTTGCACAACGTACACATTACTAGTATGAGAAATGACACATAAAATCATTAAAGAGAGGCTTAACCTCTCAAGATGGCAACTGACATTTCACTCAGGAATTCCAGTGAGTTGTAATTTTTATACTGTGACTCCTGAGGTTCGCTTGACAAAACTAGATTTCTACATGATATCACTTGCAAGCTATTGGTCTATTGAGTATATTCATTGCGATGGTCATTAGAAACGTAGCACTAATTACACAGAGAAGTTTTATTAAAAATATAAATCAGAGCTGCTTTAAGACAAGATTTTGAATGACCTAAACCTGAAGAGAAGAGTAAAACATACACATACCAAGATTAACAAATAATGCATTAAATTCAGAGTTCGGCCCCAGAATTCAGACATCAAATAATAACCCTTAGAAAGGTTTACACTCAAAATCGGATTATTCCGAGCTTCAGATTGAAATTGCAGTTCAAAATCTCTGAATATGAAGTTAATTGTAAATAAGATGCTGTAGTCTAGTCATAGCAAGTTTATTTCAATGCAACAACTTCACTTACCAGTTTATTTGAGGAGGGGAAAGCATACATCTGAAGTTTCTCATGAACTAGTCTTCTTGAATGGTTCTCCTGCTTGTGAGCAAATCTCAAGTTACGGAAATCCTGCAAAAAAAAAATTATTATTTTTTGCATAATATATCGGTATGACAAAATTGACAACATAGCCATTAATACTGTAGTCTTTCTATAAATATAATCCTTCTATAAGTATGATCAGTTGATGACTTAGCCTGACCTCCCCGTCCCACTTCTGTTTGACTCTCCCCACTTATGTTTGACTCACCTTGACTCAACTGTTTCACTCACCTCCACTTCTGTTTGACTCACCTTGACTTCACTGTCACACCACCTCCACTTCTGTGATTCACCTTGACTAAGCTGTCTTACTCACTTACACTTCTGTTTAACTTACCCTGACTTTGTCTCACACACCTCCACTTCTGTTTAACTCATCTTGACTCAGCTGTCTCACTCACCTCCAATTTGACTCCGCTGTCTCATTCACCAAGAATTTTTTGATTTACCCTGACTCTGCAATCTCATTCACCCAGACTTTTTTTACTCACTCTGTCCTTGTCACCTATTTGACTTAGTCTGACTTTGCTGTCTGACTCACATACCTGAATAAGCTGTCTGACTCCCCCTAACCTGACAGTCTGATTTAACCTGTCATTGCTGTCTAACTCAACTTGATCTCACTGTTTGACTCACCCTGACCTTATTGTTTTAACTCACCATCAGCTCACTGTTTAAATATTGAACTAAATCATTTTACAGAAACAAGTAAAAAGAAAAACTTTAAGTTTACCTTACAAAACAATTCCAAACCATAGGCATTTTCTCCTCTGCTGGTAGATCCACCAACTTTTTCTACTCTGTATATAACTCCCAGTGGTGCTTCTATGATGAACGGTGTTTCCTGACAAATGAATATAACATTATTGTTGCAGCTATGTAGAAATGTTCCTTGTTAGGGAGAGCGAGTCTTCATTTCAAATTATAAACTTAAAATCAGTTAGTTCCTACAGAACTTGGAATGAACCATCAATGATATCCACGGTAAGTTAAAAAAACAGAAAATTACCAAGCTATGTACTTACCCTGTCAGTGCTTTTAAAAAACAATTTGTAATTAGTAACAGACAGGGTTCCCCTGACAGGACCAGAGAAGGGACACAGGTATGTGACATCCTTGGCTGAAAATAAAGTATGATCAGTAATGGATGCTATTTGAATTTAAAATTACATTTTTGGCAGATTGTTGTGGAAATGTTGTAACACACGTAAATACATAAAACAGAAGATTGAAACAAAAATAGCCACAGTTTTTGAGTAAAAACTGAACATTGACTCAAATTTTGTCAGTTGGCTCCAAAATTAGGGTTCATTTCCAGAAATATTGAAGAAAATGAGAAAAAAGTGCAGAAAAATTTGGGTGAGAAATTCTGGTTGTGAAAAGAACTGATGCAAAATTCACAAATCTTTATCATGAAATAATTCAATGGTTCACATATTTTAATATCAAGAACTGGTCTTAATCTGTAAAGAAAATTGGTAGACAGACTATTTGTACATTGTACTCACCAATTGCATGTATTTTTTCACCATTCAACAAAGGTGGGTCCTCAGGCTGTGCTAATTTACTATTGGCATCACGTAATATCTGTGCATAACAACAATGTATGATGAATTACCCGGTATATCGGATTAGTTGAAAATGAAGTGATTAGAGCAACAAGAACAATTATATTTATATAAAATGTGCCTCCACCATCTATAATTTTCCCCTCTTGGCTATCTCTCTCTCTCAAAAAAATGTGATAGCAGTGGCGGCTAATAAAAAAACCCATCTAAATGAAATATAAATACTGCGAACCAAACTGGCAAAGGATTAGTTTTTATTTATTTTATTTTCTAAAAACTGAAAATTTCAAACATTATTACAACATATCGCGTGTTGACCCAGTTATATACAAGACATAAATCACATCTCTTGGATACATTGTAACAGCATTGCACAGTGACCTTATGTTGAATCCTATATCTGTACTTCACGAAGTTCAAGTAATTTGCCATTGAAGCTACAATGCACTCATGGTAAAGTTAAGGTCATAAAACTCCTTGGTTTACTCATAAACAGACTTGCCTCATGTATGCAATCTCAACACTTACAATTTATAACTTGTTTCAATTCAGGACATGAGATACGATTAATTTAAAGACATGATCTACCATATTTATTTATATTATGGTCATATTTTGGGAGATCACCAGAACCAAAACATAGCTCTGGGCTATTAATTCCTGGACACCAGATTCAAATAAAAAAAATATCAAACATATTCTATACACTGTGCATCCTATTAATTCATGCTCTAACTTTCTCTAAACGTGACGAAGCACTCTTGAAAAACAAAACAGTTATTTTTACTAGACAGTCATTGTTTCAGCAAAAGATCACCCAGGTGTTGGTACATTGGTAAATACATTTCAACGTCTTAGGTTGCAAGAATCATTCGTCAATTACTGTTACTCAAGATATAACTGTTTTACAACAGAATGTTCTGTACCAATCTTGAGTGATTATATTACTTATACTATCACATGTATATTTCTGTGAATTTTATGCGTTTTGAAACAAATTTCATCGAATCAATAACAATTTTCATGCGTTTTTCAGTTTTGAAAAACTAAATAAATATATTTTCTTCTGGTTGAAGTAGCGGCTGTGATTTTTGACTCCCGTGTGCGAAGCACAAAAGGGAGTCTTTGCAGTTACTCTGTCTGTATGTCTGTATGTCTGTATGTCTGTATGTCTGTATGTCTGTATGTATGTATGTATGTATGTATGTATGTATATCACTTTTTTTGTTCCACCGTTATCTCAAAAACCACTAATCAAATTTTGGTGAAACTTGGTACATAGATGCTCTGGGATAATGCACAGAGTTGATTAGGTTTTGGTAAAAATTCATGAATATTAATTACCTAATTTGCATGATAATTAGCTGATTTTTAGCTGTTCCATGACTGTTCCACTGATATCTGAAGAACCACTCATTGGATTTTGATGAAACTTGGCACATGGATGCTCTGAACTAGTGCGCAGATTTGATTAGTTTTGGGTAAAAATCTATGAATATTAATTACCTAATTTGCATAATAATTAACTGATTTTAAGCTTGTTCCATGACTGTTCCACTGATATTTGAAGTACCACTCATTGGATTTCGATGAAACTT